AATTGGACTTTGTTCACTGCCCCATCACCAGATAGTGCAGCCCACCTGGCAATGGCCTCTTCCCACCACATAAAGCTACTGAAACAGGTTTTTTAAAAATATATTTGTGGGGTTTTTTTTATTTCAGAGGAAGTGAGAGGGAGAGATAGAAACATCAATGATGAGAATCATTGATTGCCTGCCTCCTGCACGCCCCCTACTGGGGACCGAGCCCAAAACCCAGGCATGTGCCCTGACCGGGAATCGAACTGTGACATCCTGGTTCATAGGTCGACGCTCAACCACTGAACCACACTGGCTGGGCTCAAACATCTTTTAGTTGCCTTATTCCCAAATATAAACAGACATCAAGGATCAACAGACACCTGAGGAAAGCCTCCAACAGAAATGATCATTTAAAGAAAAGAAGCAGCAGCCTCAATTTATATAGCAGGAAAAACTTCCCAAAACCTGTAATTAATATCCTCAGAGATATTATAAAAGATATTATATCCATAAAACAAGAATAGTATGCTATCAAAGAAAATAATAAGATCTCCTGAAAAACAATTTTTTTTAATCCATAGAAAGTTTGGAATATAAAGTTGAGAAATCTTACAGCAAGTTGGAGAAAAGATAAAGTGGTGGACATGAGGGGAGGCAACATAAAGAAAATTTGAATATGAATCCAAAAGATCCAATATCTAATTAATAGGAAATCGGGGAAAGAATAGAGAAAGTATAGAGGAGGAAATTATCAAAGAAATAATACAAAAAAACTTCCAAGAACTGAAGGACAGTTTGAAAAAGCCAATAGAGTACCCAATAAAAACTAGGCCAGGATGAAATTTAAGACCAAAAAATGAGGAAGAAAAGATTCTATAAGAATAACATTTGACTTGCCAACAACAACACTGCAATGCCTTCAAAATGCCAAAAGTGTTGCCTATCTAGAATTCTGTATCCAATCAAATTATTGATCAAGTGTACAATAAGAATAATTTCAGACATCCAAAGTCTCAAAATAATTCACCTCCTATTCATCAACTTCAGGAAGTTACTAGAAAAAAAATGTTCCACCCAAACAGGAGAGTGAAAGAGAGAGTTGAAGGCCCAGGATCCAGGAAGGAGAGGGAAGGGAATCGCCAGGCCTGGGGAGCAAGTAGTCCAGACTGGAGCTGAGGCTCAAAGGAGCATGATGGAAATTATATCATCTGATCAATTTCACCATGAGGGAAATTTTACTTAGAGGCTGTTGGAAAGTGAGAAAAGACCTACAAAGAGAAACTTAAAAAGCAAAGCAAAAAGATGGAATTCTTACCATTTGCAACAGCATGGATGGAACTGGAGAGCATTATTCGAAGTGAAATAAGCCAGTCAATGAAAGAAAAATACCACATGATCTCACTCATTTATGGATAATAAAGACCATTATAAACTGATGAACAAAAATAGATACAGAGGAAGGGATTAAGAGATCAACCGAAGGACTTGTATGCATGCATATGCGCATAACCAATGGACACAAGACACTGGAGGGTAGGGGAGGCCCGGGGAATGTCAAGGGGGGAAAAAAGGAGACATATGTAATACTCTTTGTAATACTTTAAGCAATAAAACAAAATTTAAAAAAAATAAAAGCAAAGCAAATGGGCAGGGAGGTGATTAATTCTAGGAGAAATAAAAATTTATTCAAGAATTTAATCAGAGGATATTACTTGACTCATCAAAAGTATATTATGAGCAAAGCAATTTGAGCACTGAATATTGATTTAACCAGAAATTGTGACATTGGGGAAATGGGAAAGAGCTTGATTCTCATCTAGTACAATAGGAAATCAATAAGTAATGTCTAAAATTGATTAATCAAAAGATAGTAGTATAAGCCTTTAATTTAGAAATAAGAGGATAAGAAACAGTTATAAGTTAAAAGGGTGGTGGGCTGGGACAAAGGATGAGAACAGAGAAGTGAATGAACAGCTTCCTTCATCTAAAAGCCTTTCAGTACGATTCAATTCTTAAACTATGTGTCTGTCACTTTTTTTTTTAATTAAGGGAGAAAAGCCCTCCCTGAAGTCACATAGATTTGGATTTGAATCTTGGAGAAACTATGTTGCGACCAGTGTGATCTCGGCAAATTATTTTAATCCTCTCAGGTTTAATTTCCTCAATTGTTATTTGAAGCAAATGCTTTCCTACCTCTCACTTTTTGATAGGGTTCTTTAGAAACTTAGGCAATTGCCTGACACATAGTAAAGCCCTCAGTGAAAGTTTTCTCTACTCTAATTACCTGGGGCCCTACCTTCCTCTTTGGCTACCCTGACCTCTCACCCTCCATCGGTCATTAAATCCCATGAGGATGTAAACCCCCAGGTGTTTGCACGTTGCAGCTCACCTGTAATGTGAAGTAGAAGGTTTGATCCTTTTAAAGAAAACTGAGCCAGGTGACCCTTGACTTCACATACAGCTCGTTCTTTTGAGGAGTGGCTTTGGTGATGTGGAAACACCATGTCTCCTCTGGGAAAGGAGAACTCGAGTCGCAGCCATCTCACTCTTAGGTGAGAACCCGCCATCTCTGAAGGCTCCAGGATCTCGAGGTTTATGTCCACAAACATTTCCAGCCTAGAGCCTTAATCCCTTCTGTTGACATAATAAGATCCCTCAGATTATGATGGAAACTGAGCCCATGGTATTGTGACTATGCCCAGCTACCTGCCACCGCAGGTGACAGCTGCACCTGTGAGGGAGGCTGGCCCACTTCCCACACACCCAAGGCACCTGCAGCCTCCTGCGCCCTCTGCCCTGCCCTGTGCTGGTGTCCCAGCTACTAACTGTTGAACAGGGAAGTCGAGGGTTTTCTGGTGGAGTTATTTCCTCTTTTCCTTCAGGGGTTGCATTATATGCAAAGCACAGGTCCAGCTACTGTGGATGATATAGAAATATATTTGGCCTCAAAGACATTTACAATCTAATGGGGTGGTCAGTTGGGGCAAAGAATGATATAGAAATATATTTGGTCTCAAAGGTGTTTACAGTCTATTGGGGGAGATAGATGTTCACCACCCATTAGATAAGGAAATGAACTAAGATTGTGGGCTGCAGACGGAATAAGTAAGGTCTTGAGTTTACATGTTAGACTGCTACTTTGGAGCTTCTCACACGGGCCTGGGAGCAGGTAAGCCCCAGGTCAGGGGGTTATTTTTAAGCAAAAGAAAGTATTCTTCCAATATCTGTGACCTTTTATTCCTGGAGTGGCAGTGAGGCATAGCAGTGGTGGGGCGTAAGGGTGGTCTCTGAAAAGCCGACAGTTCTTACCGAGAACAGTGGCTATGGACAGACAGGATGCCACAGAATTCATTATCCCAATGGAGACACTTGAGAGTGAAAGGAGTGTAACAAGCACATCTGGACAACAGCAGACGCCGAGACAGGTCTTGGCAAACCGTGGCCTCCCTACTTACAGGTACTTAGTCATTATAAAAGGGAATAGATTCGGTGACCTCTGGACCTAGGGTTCATGCAGGTTCAAACGGCTTTTCAGGTAACCCACCATTAAATTGTAAATGCTTCTGAGACCAAATATACTTCTGTATCATCTGCAGTACCTGGCACGGTTCTCTATACATTTCCTCCTCGGTAAGGTTGCTCAGGCGGCCCAGTTTTTACCAGTGGCCAACAGCTGTCCATCTCTCTGGTTAGGATTCCTGAAAGAGCTTCCCCACCTGAGTTTTGACCAAGAAGCTACTTAAAAAGTAAATGTATATAAGCTGCTCCCCAGCTCCCTTGGCTCCTCCTGCATGGAAACCAATTCAAGGTTTGCTTTGGTTTGGTGTATACGTGCCCTATCCACACCCTCGCCTTTATCAGAAAACTGCCTCTCTCTTCAAACAGTTCTTTTCCAAGAGGAACCCTTATTCTTTAGTCACTTCACAGTAATTCCACAGAGTAGGGAAGGGTATATACTGTTTAGAGCATATGCTTTTCAAAGCAAAATGCTGTTCGATCAAAGAAATTAAAACTTGATCTTTGAAGCGAGTCCTCATTACCTAGCACTTTTACCCCATTCTATTCGGTTTTCCGTTAGAGTAGAAATCATAGAGTAACAAGTTAAAATTATACTTAATATTTACCTGCCTCTCCCACAAGGCTGCGATCTCCTTGAGGACATCAATTGCCTTATTAATATAACATATAATTATAAACACCATAGGTTTAGACATATTTGCAGGAGCCTCATAAATGATATGGTCGAGTGGTATGCACGCCAGTCTTAACTCCTCCTCTCTTGCTGGCACAAGCTGTCCTTTGCATTTTACATTCAAAACAGCTTTTCCTTTTGTGATTTTTATTTATAGCAAAGCATACGCCTCCCAGGCCACGGAGGCAACTGGGAGCCAGCTTTCTCCTACTCTTCCCCTTGCCAACCCTGTGGGGCAGTGTCATTGTCTCGGTCTTGTGACCGCTGGTCTATCTGTTAAATGAGGGCATGATCAAGATCATTCTCTCCAGGCCCCTCAGGCTCTAACATTATTGCTCTTTAATGGCTCTTTGGAAAATGACCTTTCTCCTTGGACTGCGTTCCCAGTTTTCTTCTTCCTTGTCCAGTGAAAATCGTTGCTTCAGATTGTTCTAGTGAGTCTCTGACAGATCTCCTTTCTGGCAATTCACTGAGATTCAGCCCCATCAAGAAAACAATCAATACATTGTTCTAGCTTCAGATTGGATATGGGTTAAATGTTGGCATCACTGAGTTCTGTCAAATTGTCTCAGCTTGCCTCTTAAAAATCAAAATGGGAAAATCCAAGTCTTTTGGTTATTAAATCAGAGGACTAGCTGTTGGCCCAGACTGCGTGTGTTGGGGGAAAGGAGGAGTTATGTGCATGGGTGACAGAGAATGTGTGCACTAAGGTGAATTCATAACCAACACAAGTACTGTATGTGGAACCATAAAGCCAATTGTTAATATGTGAGCGCAGTCTCCAGAGATGTTTCAATTTGGTCTCCTCCTCCTCCTCCAACAGAAACCAAACGACCGTGATCACAAAGTGAGAGTAGCCATGGGAAATGGCTTGCGAGGAGATGTGTGGAGAGAATTCATCAAGAGATTTGGGGACATTCACATTTATGAGTTCTATGCTTCCACTGAAGGCAATATCGGCTTTGTGAATTATACGGGAAAAATTGGCGCTGTTGGAAGAGCAAACTACCTACAGAGAGTAAGTACACTGAAAAATGAGAGCATATATAGCCAGTTTTCAGAATACAGAGAGTTCTTAAAAGCTATGTCAGGATGATGTTATTATGAGAATTTCATAAAGCATCAGAGCTGCAGTCCATTTATATCACCAAGAGAGGTTTGGGTCAGCCTCTGTAACAAGGACCTCACAAAGATAGGGTGCTGTAATTTAAAAATCTTAATGTCTGTGAATAACAACCCATTCGGTCTTTGCCATCTGCAATTCAGGTAAAGTTTCCCTATGTCACTTACATGTGTATATGATAAAACACCTGAAAGTTACTGGTTCCATAAGTTTACCATAGTCTGTGAAATGGTGAAATGTGGTATTTCCATTCCATTGTGCTGTGGGTTACTACCATCTGGGGAACTTTTTACACACACAGGGGCAGGGCCTCAGCCCCTAAGCTTTGGATGCAGGCGTCTTGAGGTGGGACCCAGGCATCAGTGTTTTTTGAAAACTCTGCAGCCAGAGTTAAGAAGCATTATCTTATAAAGATTTGTGTTCTCACAGACAACAGGGGGATGAAAGCATGAGTGTGGGGGGAGGTTGGGGTTAATGGGGGGATGAGGACACATTTGTAATACCTTAACCAATAAAGAAATTAAAGATTAAAAAAAGATTTGTGTTCTAGTAACTGCATTAAAAATATATTTCTTATTAATTGAGATGTAATTGACATATAACATTATATTAGTTTCAGGGGTACAACATAATGATTCAATATTTGTATATATTGCAAAATGATCACCACAATAAGTCCAGTTAACATCTCATCACCTCACATAGTTACCATTTTTTTTTCTTGTGATAAGAACTTTTTTTAATCCTCACCTGAGGATATTTTTTCCATTGCTTTTTCAACCAGAGTGGAAGGAGGGATGAAGTGGAGGGAGAGAGAGAGAGAAACATCAATATGAGAGAGCCACCTCCACTAGGGGTGGGGAGCAAACCTGAAACCCAGGTACATGCCCTTGACTGGGAGTCAAACCCACGACCCTTCAGTGAGCAAGCCATACTCTAACCACTGAAACACCAGCCAGACTGTCATAAGAACTTTTAAGATCTACTCTCTTAGCAACTTTTAAATATGCAACACACTATTATTAACTACTAGTGCCCCGGTGCATGGATTCATGCACATTGAAAGGAAATTCATTAGAAGGTGGTAGGCGGGTTGGGACTGGGCGAGACGGGCTGGACATGCCCTGGAGCCAACCTCCCTCAGTCCCTCCCCAGCTGGCCACACCTGGGGCGACACCACAGCTCAAAGGGCATCTTCGGAGTGAGTGGGTCCCTCCAGTAGGTGGGGTTCCTCAGCTTGGCCTGCGGGGACCGGGCCAAAACCGGCTCTCTGACATTCCCCGAGGGGTCCCGGATTGGGAGAGGGTGGTCATTGTGCATCATAGCTACCGGTTGGATAGTCGAATGGTCAGACGGTCACTTAGACTTTTACTAGTATATAGAGAGAGGGGCCTGGTACACAAATTAGTGCACAGGTAGGGTTCGGCCAGCCCAACCCGATCAAGGCTGATCGGGCCGGGCCGGCTGGGGGGAGGGGCCACGGGCGGTTGGCCAGCCAGCCCTGCCCCCTGGTTGAACACCTGGTTGAACTCTTGGTCAAACTCCTGGTTGAGGGGACAATTTGCATATTAGCCTTTTATTATATAGGATAGATAGTCACCACACTGTACATTACATACCCAGGACTTATTTATTTTATAACTGGAAATTTCTATCTTTTAACCATGTTCACCCATTTTTTTAAGTTAAACATATCCTCACCCAAGGATGTGTTTTTATTGATTTTAAAGAGAGAGAAAGAAATACAGAGAGAGAGAGACATTGATCGATTGCCTCCTGTACATGCCCAACTGGATCTAACCTGCACCCTGGGCATGTGCCCTGAGATTCGAACCCACAACCTTGCAGTGTATAGGATGACACTCCAACCAACTAAGCCACACCAGCCAGGGCCACTTTCACCCATTTTTACCCACTCTTCACTCCTCACCTCTGGCAATCACCAATCTGTTCTCTAAATCTAGGAATTCATTCTTTTTTCAAATTCCACATATAATGAGGTCATGTGGTATTTGTCTTTCTCTGTCTGACTTATTTCATTTAGCATAATGTCCTCAAGGTTCATCCATGTTGTTGCAAGTGGCAAAATTTCCTTTTTATGGGTGAATAATATTCCATTGTATAAATACATCACTGTATATACACCACACTTTCTTTATCCTCTCTTCTATCAATGGACACCTAAGTTGTTTCCATGTTTTTGCTATTGTAAATAATGCTGCAATGAACCTGGGGTGCATACATCTTTTCTAATTAGTGTTTTCATTTCCTTTGGATAAATACCCCAGAAATGGAATTGCTGGATCATATGGTAGTTCCATTTTTAATTTTTTGAGGAACCTCCATACTGTTTTCCATTGTGGCTGCACCAATCTGCATTCCCACCAATAGTGCACAAGGGTTCCCTTTTCTCCACACCCGCTTCGGCATTTGTTATTTCTTTTTTTACATATTCTTTTATTGATTTCAGAGAGGACGGGAGAGAGACATGGAAACATGATGAGAATCCTTGATCAGCTGCCTCAAACACACCCACTACTGGGGATTGAACCCTCAATGTGCCCTGACTGGGAATTGAATCATGACCTCCTGGTTCACAGGTTGACGCTCAACCACTGAGCTACACCAGCCAGGCTCTTGTCTTTTTTATAGTAGCCATTCAAATAGACGTGAGGGGCTATCTCATTGTGGTTTTGATTTGCATTTCCCTTATAATTAGTGATGCTGAACATCTTTTCAGGTACCTGTAAGTCATCTATATGTCTTCTCTGGAAAATGTCTATTTAGACTATTTGTCTACTTATTAATTGGATTGTTTGTTTTGCTATTGAGCTGTATAAGTTCTTTGTGTATTTTGGATGCTAACCTCTTATCAGTTATATGATTGACATTTCCTGTTTTTAAGCCAACTCACATATGTATACTAACCTCTTATGAGATATATGATTGACATTTCCTATTTTTAAGCCAGAAGTCTCTTTTATTGCCTGGGATCTCCAGACAATCTCTTTGCCATTTTTGTGCTCAAGCAGTCAGTCTTAGGTGACCACCTAGTTTTCAAAATCTCAGGAAGATTCTGCAAATGCTGAGCCTCCACTGGCTTGAGCAGTGACAGCTGTCTTTATGCCTCTGGTAACTTGTCCTGGCCAAAACAGCCACCCAGAGCTCCCAAGCAACCTGTGTCTCCAGGGACTGACGAGCTGAGTACAGAGGGCAGTGGTGCGTGAGCATAAGAGATCAGATTCCAGCACAATCATATACTGACTGAATGACCCAGGGCAAATCACTTTATGTTCCTTAGACCTCAACTCATCATCTGTAAAACAGAGATTAAAGAGAGAAAATATAGAGCCCAGTGCCAGGCCCAAACTCAATGTTGTTAAAGGAAAAGGGTTGTTGAAAGGATTCAATTAAATAATTTATGAAAAGGCCATTAGAGGATATAGCCCGAATGCCTGTCACATAATATCCTTGAATAATTGTTAGCTGTTATGATTATTTTCATTCCATTCCTTCTATTCTAGCCTGGTCTCTAGACATTCCCAAGTCCAGGAAACCTCCCTGACAATGACAGCCAAACCTGTACTACACAGGTCTCTCCACTGTCCTCCACACCTGGGCCATCCAATACGGTAGCCACTCGCTAAGTGTGGCTATGTAAACTTAAACTGCATAAATAAAATTTTAATTTAGTTCTTCATTCACTCTAGCCACCTCTCAAGTGCTCAGTAGCCATACTTTGTGATTACCATGTTGAGCAGTACAAATATAGAATACTTCCCTCATCATAGACAATTCTGCTGGGCAGCACCCTAGAGACTGAGAATCGATTTCCCACTCCACACTGGGAGAGGGTCTGTCTTCGCTAGTTTCAGTCCAAGCTATACTAGCCCAGACCTGAAAGACCCAGGCTAAATGCAGTTCAGAACAAGAGAGGGCACAAAGCTGAGCCCAGGCACGGTGCAAGCTGTCAGTGTTGTTATGATGAGTTACAAGGAAACAACCCACACGTGAGGACCTTAGGAGTTGGTGCTGTGTGTTACTAGTTCTTTGTATCACATCCATTGATTGCTATGTTTTATTGTCAGTTTTTCTAGTTTATACAAATCTATATTTTAAAACTAAAAAGGAGGAGGGGGAGATGGCCCTGTAATTGATGTGGAAAGAAGCATGAGTTACCACCCCTATTGTTTTTTTCACATTCTTGCATATAAAAAAATCTACATTTGTTGACTATGAATGCCACTTGGTTTTTAATGGTTATCTGCTACTACCAAAACACATAATTGGTTAATTTATCATATAGATTTGAATTTAAATTTGAAATGGACACAGTAATTATGGGTGATAATTACATCTAAATACTGTCATATTTGTACCTATCTGTTAACAGAGAAAATAACGCACTTATTGCCCTTACTAAATTATATAAATTAAAATTTTTATGCCATTGAATTATAGTATATATGATGGAGTTTTAATTATTTTTTAGCCATATTAAAATTTTTATGCCATTGAATTATAGTATATATGAAACATGATGGAGTTTTAATTATTTTATAGCCATGGGCATGAAGTAATTATACTATTGAACCTTAAATATATTGGAGAGCATGTCTCTGGAAGTGTAAAACATACAACAGGGGCGCATTAAGGTTATATAAGATTTTAAAAATGCACTTGTGATATGTCCACCAGAAAACATGTACTAGTATGAGACTGTTCATAACAGCTTTATTTTTAGTAGTCCAAAACTGAAACAATCCAAATGCCTGTTAAGGAGAATAGATAAATTAATTGCTGTATATTCATACAAGAAAAACCACTGAAACAAACATCAACGTGGATGGATGACTGTCTCACGCAGTGTGTTGAGTGAAAGAAGCAAACACAAAGGCAAATATTTACTTCATTTATTGGGAGTTTAGACTACTTGATGGTGATACAGTCAGAATGGTGGTTAACTTGACAGAAGGGGCAGGAGGAAACTTTCTAAGGTAATGAAAATATTTAATATCTTGATCTGGATGGTAGGTACATGGGTGTTCATACATACAAAATTCACCAAGGTATACCCTTAAGATAGGTGTTCGTTATATACTTTATGCATGCAGTACTACAATAAAAAAGAAAAAAATGTGAAAATGTATGCTCAACGTGATCTATTTTAATTTCACTAGAAAGTTGTATCTTATGAGCTGATTAAATATGATGTGGAGAAAGATGAGCCTGTCCGAGATGAAAATGGATATTGCATCAAAGTTCCCAAAGGTACAGTGGATTTTTGTTCAATTAACCATTCATTTTCTTCTTTTTTTAATTTTGAGAGAGAGAGAGAGAAGTATTTGTTGTTTCACTTATTTATGCATTCATTGGTTGATCCTTGTATGTACCTTGCAACCTTGGTATATGGGGATGATGCTCTAGCCAACTGAGTACCCAGCCAGGGCCTAAGCTGTCATTTTCTTACCTTGACTAAATGCCTGTTAAGAACTACCATATCATTGCTAAAATGAACACCAGGTAAATTTATTAGAGTGAAGGGGAAAAAGAGATTTATGTACACTCAGAATTAGTTACAGAAACTCCAAAAGATACTAATTTAACCACTACATGTAACATAATTGTAGTTTGAAACCTAGCTTAACAACTTCTTGATTGTGAGGTTAGCATTTTGTGGGAAGAGATATATAATTATGGTTGCAAAACTATAGTTTTAGGGAGTCTTTGAAACTACTATTCATTTGTTTAATTATGTGTATAAGTAATTATTCAGTAAAAGGTTAGCATTTAAAAATTACAAATGTGTGGCCATATGGAATAATGTGTGCACATTGCTGCAGACCAAGATCAACAGTAATTGATATAAATGTGAGAAGTCTGGCAGAAGGCTGACCAGGACTCCTTTTGATATTCACAGGGTGAATATCTACATTTTATTACCTGCTGCTGACTCAATGGCCTAAAGCAAACTCCCCCAAGACCTGACAATCTTACTGTTTGCTAAACATTACCATTGATATGTCTGTTTGCATTCCTAAAGGCAATTGTGTATTCTAGCTAATAAAAACAGCTGGGAATGGAGCAACAGAGAGAGCTTGACCGTCATGGTTAGGCTGTCCTCTGGTTCCCCCGGTAATTATAAAAATTAATATTCCATCTTGTGTGTATCATTTGCGCGTCAGCCCTCCCTCCAAGTCTTTGAACCCGCGAAAGCCACGCTGGCCGTGGACTCTCGCAGCACATAGTATATGTATATGTATGTATATGATGTATATGAATATACATGCACATGTGTAGCCAGCCTGCTGCTAATGAGTTGCATAGCATCAAATTTAAGAGGTTACTAATAAAATGTGCCTACTGCAAGCTCATAAAATAACAATGTGCTTTCTTCTCTCTTAGGTGAAGTTGGACTCCTAGTTTGCAGAATCACAGAACTTACACCATTTAGTGGCTATGCTGGAGGAAAATCTCAGACAGAAAAGAAAAAACTGAGAGATGTCTTTAAGAAAGGAGATGTCTATTTCAACAGTGGAGATCTCTTAATGATTGACCATGACAATTTCGTCTACTTCCACGACAGAGTTGGCGATACATTCCGGTGGGTTTCTCTGAATTATGGAGAAACATGCTCAATTTGGCGTACTCCTAAATTGAAATCCCATTCCATTTTGGTTATGGGACCCCATTTTCTTCTATCTCTTTACCATGTCAATTCAACCTCCTGATTCCTAGAAAAAAAGGAGCAAAATATATAAGGGGTCACTCTTCAATGCACAGATAACTTGGTTGAGCAACACCAAATGAAAGTAAGGTGGGAAACCTTAGTGCAGTGGTTCTCAACCTGTGGGTTGCGACCCCCTTGGGGTTGAACGACCCATTCACAGGGGTCACCTAAGACCATCGGAAAACACATAAATAATTACATATTGTTTTTGTGATTAATCACTATGCTTTCATTATGTTCAATTTGTAACAATGAAAATACATCCTGCATATCAGATATTTACATTACAATTCATAACAGTAGCAAAATTACAGTTATGAAGTAGCAACGAAAATAATTTTATGGTTGGGGGTCACCACAACATGAAGAACTGTATTAAAGGGTCACAGCATTAGGAAGGTTGAGAACCACTGCCTTAGTGTATACATGTGTCTCAATAGCTTAGTCCATCCAGTTCCTCCATTATTACTGGTCACGCATAGGACAGCCAGGGATTTTCAGTTTTCAATTATGGGGATTTTCTTCAGCTAAAATCCAATGCAAATTAAGGTGGAGCTGATTTAGTTGAAGAGGAGGGATTTGGAGTCCTACCTGCTTCCCTCCCTCTTACTCTCCATCCCCAACCAGGTACCTTTCCCCAGAACCCCCAGGTCAGTGCACCAGTTTGCAAGTCATGATAATAGATCATGAAATGAATTCCCAACAACAGCACGGCCCTCCAGCCTCATAACACTTTTGCTTAATCATCTTCCTTCCTTCATGGACTCGCTGAGGCCAGGCCCCAGCTCCCAGCACAGTGCCTGACACACATAATTACCTTTTGTATGAATTAATGAGGAAGGGATGGAAGTTGTATATTGAAGTAGAAAGAGTGTGGATCTGAATGAGGAGAACAGAGTTCCCAGGCTCACCTCTGCCCCTGAACATCTGTGTTAGCAAGGCAGGTGACCTTTCTCGACCCAGTTTCTTCATCCGTGAAGTGAAGGTCCCGATGACCCTCAGTGTTCCTCCCATCTGAAATATTCCCTAACTCAGGATCCCTGTCATTATTTTATGCCACCTTCATGTCACTGAAAAGATTCCCGGTCAGGAGAAAATCGACTTCTATGAGATATTTTAAAAAAAATTTTAATGTAAAAAACAATAACTTTATGAAGTGAAAAATAGCACTTGGTTGGCACTAACATTATAGTCTCCTTGCAAATAAAGAATGATATTTTATCTTATTAAAAGCTTTCTTATTGCCCTGAGACCCTGAAATACAAATATGAAATTTTATTAAACACAAGTTCACTAATTGAATGAAATAGCAACCAAAGTTAGAGAATGAGGAAAGGGAGAGACTTACATACAGCAAAAAGTCATTGAACTTGGTTGGCACTAACATTATAGTCTCCTTGCAAATAAAGAATGATATTTTATCTTATTAAAAGCTTTCTTATTGCCCTGAGACCCTGAAATACAAATATGAAATTTTATTAAACACAAGTTCACTAATTGAATGAAATAGCAACCAAAGTTAGAGAATGAAGAAAGGGAGAGATTTACATACAGCAAAAAGTCATTGATGGGTTTTTGTTTTGTTTAGTTTTTTGTTAATTTTCACCTGAGAACAGTTTTTTCCCATTAATTTTTAGAAAGTAGAAGGGAAGGGGAGAGACAAAAGAAACATCAATGTGAGAGACAAATGGATTGGTTGCCTCCCGCACACAGCCCAACTGGAGCCGGGAATTGAGCCTGCAACCGAGGCACATGCCCTTGACTGGAATCAAACCCGCCACCCTTCAGTCTGAGGGCTGGCGCTGAGCAAACCAACTAGGGCCATTGATGGTTTATTTTTTATTTCCATTGCCTTTCTTAGGCCAAGTCTGTGTTTTGACATTAGAACAGCATCATTCTGTAAGTCATGTTCCATGTGGCTAGATTGGAATTCTGCATTTTATTATTTAGGAGTATGCCTTTGTCTTTTGTTCCTCAAGCATGGTGCTTCTCCCATGATGAAGTTGGGGAATTTGGGGACCAAGGTGAGGTATAGAGTGCAGCCACCCCACAGAGGTCTGGAGGGAACCAGCTACTTCCTGTCATCACATCCTGAGCCAGAGACCACCTGTGACCTCTGCTAACCTCACCTTTTCTTCCAGGTGGAAAGGAGAAAATGTGGCCACCACTGAAGTTGCTGACACACTGGGACTGGTTGATTTTGTCCAAGAAGCAAATGTTTATGGAGTGCCTGTGCCAGGTATGCACGAGATATTATAAATCTGTGCCTAAATCCATATCATTTTAACCCCAGGGCAAAGTACGCCATTGCCTTCTCCTGTCGGCTGGAGAATCAAATGACTCCATCAGCCACTTGAGTAAGGGGTTTATGTGTGGCTTATGTTCCTTTATAAATCATCCCGGTCAGTACACCTGAACCTGGCCTTCCTCTGTGGCTCAGCTCCCCAGCTGGGCTCCCCGGCAAGCCACATCTCTCCAGGACTCCAGGTCCCATGCTGCATCTGGCACTCCTCAAGAGAAGATGCAGCACGCTGGAGAGCTGGGAGATGGGATGTGAGACACAAGTAAGAGCAAGTACAGTTGCTACGAGAAGACATTGTCAGCCATCACACCACACTGGGCTCTCACAGACCCCACCTGGAATCTTGCACACACTTTTAAAGCAGGTCCCTGACCCAGCCCACCTGACTGAGTTTCAGAATCATGACATCGAGCCTTCTTCCATAGACCTGCTTCTCCCAGCAGCGTGGGGAGTGCCCAGGTCTGATTTGGGATCTTGGCTCCAATACCAGCTGGCTGTTTGGCTTCAGCCATATCACTAAAATTAGGGATCACACCAGTCTTGTCATGAAGATTGTCCAGAGAACTAATTCATTTCAATGACATAAATAGTAAAAATATATTTGTCAGATATGTACATGAGTGTTGTCATGAGGAGAAATCATTTTTGTTATAGACTAGGG